AAGAAAAAGCTCCAGGGAAACCTAAGACCATCTTTCTGTACATAAAGGGGAGAAGAGAGCTGGAGATGGACTTTTTACAAGAGCCTGTAGTGGCAGGACAAGGGGCTATGGCTTCAAACAGAGAGTAGGCTTAGATTAAATACAAGGAAGAAATTCTTCACGGGGGGAGTGGTGAGGCTCTGGATGGTGAGCTTGCCTAAAGAAGTTTTCAATGCCTCATTGCTAAAAGTATCCACAGTCAAGTTAGACAGGTCTCTGAGAAACCTGGTGTAGTGAAAGGTGTCCCTGCCCAAGGCAGGGAGTTTGGAAGTTGATAATCTTAATGTCCCTTCCAAACCATTTTACTATAATAGTATGAAGAATTTTTGAATATTTATAGTCACATTGTGTTTTCTTTTTCTTAAGTAATGAGTGTGGTTAGATACTTTATTTATTCAGATCTTTATTTTTTGTTTTGTTTTTTAAACTTATGCAAGACACAAATGGAACTTCTAAGCCCAGGAGGTGCTTCATTCTAATGTGAATATTGTATAACTTGTTTTGCATTTCCCAGGACATCTTTTACACATGTCAATTAAACTTAAATTATCCTAATCTGTTTCAGGCTCTTTAAAGCTGTGTGTTGTTGCAAATGTAAGCAGACATTTGCAATCTGATCCCAGCCAGGCTGTTTTTGACAGTAGAGAACTTTAAGTATGGCATGGTTTTGTAGCCTGTAGAACTGTCCACCCTACTAATTTTCTGTTTTATTTTTGACATAAATTCCATAGGAAGGGGTCCATAACTACCATCTCTTATGCTGGCACAGCATTTAATCATAACTAATTGAGCCACCAATGCTATGAATATATAAATATTAAATCATGCCAACCTGCAATTTTGTAAAACATCTCATTCTAAATTGATAGAAAAGTGTTCTTTTCTATCAAAACTGTACATCTCTACTCAGATTGAAAGTCTGATGTTTTGTTCAGGCACACACAGAAAAAGCTGGAATTTTAGGTACAGCCTGGATGAAAGTTATTTTGTTATAAGGTTTTAGAGATTCATTGAACCAGTATTATCTGTGGCTTTCCTTTTAATCTGCCCAGCCTTTTTATATAAGACATTGAGAAGTTACAATTCTAAATTGCAATTGTGTATCTGCTTTTATTGCAGCTATATTTTACTGCAGCTGTATTTTGTTTCTAGCACAGTGTATTTCTGTCTAGAGCTCCATAGCTGCATCTGTTTGTAGGACAAAACAGAAGTCTCTGTAGATCATCACTTTTCCTCAGCGTCATTTAGTTGAAGCAAGGTTTAAACCTTGATGGTTGGAGGGCTGTGTACTTGGATACCTTTCAGAGCTGATATCAAGGAGAATTGTGAAGAGTACCATACTCTCTTTTAGGAAGCATGTTCTGTTTAATACACATGATAAAATAGCAGCTAGAAGGATCTGTATGGGTCTGAACCTAGGATTTTATAGCAGCAGAATGCTAGTTTTGAGGCAACACACCGGTTGAATAAACTTCTAATCATAGCAGGCAGCCATGGAGTGTCTGAAAGGTTAATTGAATGTGACTTGGAAAGTTGAAAATGTTTCTGGGTGCTGGAAGAAAGCTAGCTGTTAGTTTTGTAATTCAAAATATTTGTTTTTTGAGTGTGTTGTACAAAACACCTGTTGGTTCTGGATTTCATTCCATGCCCAGAAAAGCAGTGACCACGAGATAAAGCAGATATAACCAGTGTCTGTTGAGTGTTAGTCACTGCTCAGATTCACTTGAATCAGTGCTATTTTTCTTAGCAGACTACATGGCTCATTTAACTAATATTCATAATCATAATTGCTACCCTTCGCACTGAGGTTCAAGGAAGTCCTTGTAGTGCTTTATTTTTAAAGTTATTTTCATAATAGGCTGAGTGGAATCTTCTACTTTTTTATATTCACATTGTAAATCAAACATTCTGGAAATCATTGGTGGATCAATAGCATGATCACATCTCTCCACAAATCTCACTTCTAGATGTGGATCAGTGCTTAGGTTCTTAGAGCAGAAGTTACAAGCTTCACAAAACTAGTAGTAGATTGTTTGCAAAGCATTAATAAAAGAACACAGGAAGGAGAATGATAGAATAGCTAATAGATTTATTTGGGAATGAGGTGAAGTTAATTTTGTTCACATTCTATTCATGAGGAAAAGTAGAACAAGTATGCAGAATTGTTGATTAAATTGCAAATTATCTTGATTTGAGCATATGTTTTTATATAAAAAATAAAATTAAAGTCCTAATTTTATACTCCAAATCACTGTAACTCAGTAAGTTGCTAACAAACCTGCTTGTTTACAATTGCAAACTTGCTGATAAGAGGCAAAGGGTTTTTCTTTCATTTTGAACTCTTCAGGATCGAAGAAGAAACCATTCAGTGGGTACACAGTGAAAATCTGATGTGAACAGGTCTGAAATTCATATATGGGGTGAGTTTGATAGTATTTTAATATTATTTTTTTGCTGTGCTTTTGGTCTTTGATTTTAGAAGAAATTAATAGCATTTTCTAATAGGGGTCAGATATAAATTAAGGCAACAAACTTGAAAATTTGAAGTCATTGTTAAGATATATCTGGATAATTTTTTTCTTGTTTATACTGCAAAAGTTAAATTTAGGTGAGAATTTTGGGAAATGAAGAAGCAAATGAAAATCCAGATTCTCTTAATGATGGTAAAAATTCTCTTAATAATGGTAAAAAACCTGGAATCTAAAATGCTTATTTGAAGAGACTGTTAAGATCTAGAAAGTTTCTGTAATTTGACTATCATGAAAGCTGCAGAGACCATTCAGTAGCAGGTTAAGATACTAGCCAAGTCAGCCTATTCCTATTTTCATAGTTCTGCTTTTCCTTCATGCCCTCTTCCACAGATTGTTAATCTTCTTTGAAACCACCTTGCTTCATTATCACTTATTCTGCAACTCTAAACATAGTGTAAACAAAGTGAAGAAAGTGAAGGAAGGTGATCAGAATCTAAAGGATTATGACTACATCATATTGTTTTAATTTTTCTTCCTGTTTGAGGATTGTCTTGTATGGTTGTTTGGCTGTTTGTTAACAAATTAAAAAAAAATTAATAAACTAATTAATAAGGGTCACCTTCCTATTTGGTCATATCTTCATTTAATGAAGATAAGAGACAGGCCTGTCACAGCTCTCAGAAATTATTTTGTTTGTTAGTTATTGTAGCAATTTTTGGCATCACATACCAAATAATCGTGGAGTATTAAGAGTTGTTAACCAATTTATTTTTGATGACAGATGCTTAAATAAATTAAAAGAAGCAATGTCACTACTCTGATGCCGTTCAACAGCTGGCAGTTCTTTTTCATTTGAATCTCTATTATAGGCTTGAAAAAGCTAAGAAAAAAAGTTTATGTTTAATGTAAATCTGATTGTCTTGGGCTTTACAATCCTTATCTCTGGCAGCACCAATTGTAGGAGTATGTAAAAGCTTATTGCTGGTGTCAGTGGAATTTAGCCAAATTTGGAAAAGTAATTGCCAGTGAAAGGGTTTTATCCCTCCATTTCTGAGACCTGAGCTTATACGGAAGAGAATATATCTATTCCATCTGCGTGTTTTTCCCCTTGCTTTCTTTTTTTTCTCCAGGTAATCATTCATGTTGTATTAACATAAACTACTATTTCCAGAACTGAGATGTTCAGCTCTCTTTTTTCCTTTACTAAGTCTTTCAAACAACAGAAACTGAATTTATTGATTGTTGTAATGTCTCAATACTCTTCCTTTGTCAAACATTATTTGAAGAATTCCAAAGGAAGGAAATTAGAATGATTCTCCCCAATTAATTCAGGAAAGTATCAACACTGCAAAAACCTCTGGTCCTTTGGGAATTAATATTTCTTGGACTGAACTGGCTGAGGTCTACCTTCAGGGAAAAGGGAGGCTTCTTGGTTATCCTGTTAATTTAGCATTCTTTCTACTTACATTTTCCAAGCACTGCAGAGCTAGTCCTTCTTTGGACATTTTGTTCAAAGAAAAATGATCTGTGACTTGAGTGTCTAGATTTGACTTTCTTATCAAAGGCCCTTTCTGAATTCAAGAACTGCTCCTTTTTAGACCCTGAAGGCTTGCACTGAGCAAGAGCCAACAGAAACTAATTTTTCTTACCTGTATTTCTTCTGATCTGCAGCTTCTTTTGATGAGTAGTAACCTTTTGAAATAAAATTTTTATGAACTGAGTCACAGTGAAAGCAATTGGAATAGGCATGCTGTGGTCTCTGTCCAAGTAGAACAAAAGTCTTAGAATATTTTAAACAATATTATTTACAACACAAATCATCTTCTTCTGAAGTAGTATTGCAATACAAAAATTATTAACAGGATTTATCAAGTACAGTAATGTTTTCTGCTCTTTGTGCTGGGACTTAATGAAGTGTGATGTATCTTAGCTGCATTGTTGTGTGGAGGCAGTAGTAGAGTATTGAATTGGAAAAAACAAACTTGAACTGTTTGCATGGAATTTTAATTAAAAATATAATCTCTAAAAACTGTGTGTGACGTTTTGTGAAAGACTACCTGATAATTGCACAAGGTACTTATGTTAACATAATTACATGATCATCTTAATCTACAGCTTTTTTCACAAGGTAAGGCTAAGATTCACCATTATTTCTTAACAAATTCCATCTTTGAACATGAACTATCAAGTTATTAAACCCCCCCACCCCATGCTCCTTTGAAATGAGATTTCTTGGGAAGTCCACCCTTCCCAACTGTCATAATTTTAAGGAAAGAAAAACAATTACCATAAATTTAGATTAATAGAGATTAGTATGAGATCACTTCTTATTAGATACATAGCATTGTTGTACAGTTTGTTGAAATATATTAATGGAAGCCTGGAACTGGTCATTTAGTTTAGAAAAACCATTAGAAATGTGCTTATAGTATTTTTAAATCAGATAGACCTGATTCAAGTTTTTGTCTTTTTTTATTTTAATTATTGTAGCTGACTTTGGGCTTGCAAAGCAAAAGTAAGAGGACTGAAAACTTGCACCAGTAGTGGCAAGCATCCTAAACTCATGGTAAGTACTCCTGCACAGAACTTTTAGTCCAGTGACTTCCATCTTCATGGTTACTCTTGGAGCAGATAGGGAAGTTGCAATGAGTAAGAAACAAGGTGCAAGTGACAAGCTATCCTACAATAGCTGCTTCCCTGCCTGTTTTGATGTTGTCTGTTCTTAACACATGGTAGTTACCACGAGTTAAGTTGGTGCAAAAATGAACTAACTGCAGCAGTGTAATAACTTATTCATCTACATGTAGAATATCCTTATAGATAAGGAAATGTGGTTTTAAATTATAAAATGGTGTATGTAAACAGTATGAATTACCACCACACCTGTGATGGCCTTATAGCTGTGAGAATGCTTGGCCTGCAGACTGTGATAATTAATTAAAGGTTCCAAGCCATCAGGGGAGCTACAGGTTGCTCCTTTGAATTGAGAGTGAGTCGAGAACTCAGGCATTTGGCAGTTGAACATAATTAATTTTGCCAGTTTTAAAATTGTTGCTTGTGAATTCCTAGTGCCAGAATGATAATGACTGACACCTAATCCCTAGAAATCCCTAAATCCTAAAATGGCTTCTAGAGGGAAACCTTGTAATATGTTTAATATTTAAGTCACATACATTGGAAGACTAATGTTTATAGTTTTTAGTGAGCAAAGGTAAGGTGATTACAAGGCTGCCTGAATTGATTATCCAAATATTCCTGATGCATAGCACAATCTCTGAGTGACATTGGATCTGAGAGTGATAGTCTGGGTATATAAAGTGTAGTAAGAATTTGGTGTAACTAGTTATGTGCCATCTTTTTCAGCTTCTCTGAAATAATCAATTTGTTTTGTTCACTTATAACTGGAAGGAGAAGTTGTTGATGAGATGTTATTCTGCTCTTTTAAACATCAGCTTAAAAATAGTGGTGTCAGAGGTGTCAAAACCATGCTGCTCTGGCTCTCAGGCTGAATTCTAATTTGTCTTATCCCATCTACATTTATTTCTTCTTTTTCCTCTGTTAGAAGCCTGTTTTGCTTTCACTGATATCTTTTGGGTTTTTAATATTTTGTAGGAAAATTTTGTTTGAGAGTAGTGTTCTGTAGATTTAAGTACTTCTTTAAATACAATTTTTGCTTATACTGTATTTATTATTATTCTCATACCCTGTCTTTGTACATGGAAGTTCATATCAGACCTAGAACTTTGGCAGGTCTTTTTCTACCTCTTTATCCAGTTATTTGGATGCAGGATTGAGGATAAAATGTCCCTTACAAGTTGCAGTTTCTCAAGTAAGTGGTCTTTTGGGACATTACTTGTCAGTTCTACTCCACAGGCAAAATCATGGAAGCAGTGATCCTTGTCTGTCTACAGTCAGAAAAGAGAACACAGATAAAGTACAGATGTCTTTGTGTTTAAAATATATGCTTGAGTAGTATTTAAAATGACAGGCTAAGATATTAGTCTTCCCAATGTCATAATAATTTAAGAATGCTAAAAATGCTTTGCAAACAGCAGCACTCACTGGAGGCCACCTTCAAGGTGCCTGGTTAGTACTGTGTGTGACAGTGGGCTTTTTGAAATGGAAGCCTATTCACAAGGAGCAGGGTGAACTGACAGAGTATCTTAGCACAAGTCTTGAAGGAGAAATCAGAGCCTATAGACTTAAGCAGTGCTTGGACTAGACTTTTTAGTCGGGATTTTTTGGTATGATTTAAGTAGATATTAAAGGCTATTAAGAAATCAAAAAATTAGTGCTGCCTACCTACTGATGCACGAAAAAACTCCCAAACCAAACCAAAAAGAGATGTGAGAGAGCATTTTCATCTTAGAAAGGCATAAATTGTTTTCTTCCGCATTTTGAGATTTCATGGAATAGAGAATCCCATCATAATTCCTTGAGAACTTGATCGATCTTTAAAAGTTGTTGAGAAACTATGAGTAGATCCCTCAGTTGTCATTAAGAAGCAGGAAAGAAAGATCTACATTAGTTGATGAGCTAACTTGATCTTTCTGAAACAAAATTGTTTTCAAATGTTAGAAAAATGATGAACAGAATAATGTTATTTATTTAGCTTCTTGTGCTAATGCTGAGGAGTTTTCTTGCTGTAGTATTTTGGGGAAACTCCCATTTCAGTGCTAATTGGAGATACTATTTTACTTGTGTCCCTCATCTTCTCTGCTATGGAGGAGAAAATATTCCTTGATCTTCATTTCTGTTTATGGACTATACACTCTGTCTGTGTACTGTGTTATGTTAACTAGATTTCTAGTACTGGTCACTGCTTCTGTTTATAACCATATCTTGTGAGAGCATTGCATAAATCAATATTCTGGTATGATTTCTCATGTAGAGCCCTGCAGTAGCTGCATTGCTTATTGTGGTGACATAATATTTTCACTTACTTAAAGCATTTTTGTGTTGGGAAATTTAAGATGAGTAAGTTGTATTTCCATATGCATTTCCATACATACTTAATTTTTTTTCCCCCTCTGGAAAAATGTTCCAGTGACCATTATAAAATTGTTATCATAAGAGATAACTTAATACTAGACAGGGGAGAAAGGAAAAAAAATAAGTCTTGGAGCAAAAAGAAAGCTGGCCACTTTGTAAGTAGCATGGACTAGGCCATGTTATGTATTTTTCCTATCCTGAGTAGAGTTATATTCACAAAGGCTTGTAAGTAGCTTAAAGTCATAGCACAGGTTATTTTCCTATGAAAATGAGTCTGAAAACAGTTTTCTGTACTTTTGGATCACATGAGTGGTGCTGATCCAGCAAGAGTTACTTTAATGCTGAGGGGTGGGGTGTAGCATGTAATAATTTTATAGACTCCATGGTGACTTTCGACCACTATCTTGAGGAAAAAGCCCAAAACTGTTCTACTACCACAATACATTATAAATCAACAATGTACTTCTTGGAAATATTCATTTCTGTAGAACTTACAGAAGTTGTGCAGCAGTTATTTTAATCCATAATAATTATTATGTTATTATCTCTCTGAAAGAGACAATAATGATAATGAATGAATACTTTTATTAGAATTAGATCAGGCATTTCATCAAACTAATTTATCATCTTGTAATGTCTTTTTGTCCAATGTTACTGGCATTTGTTTGATAGAATTCTTTCATTTTTATTTTAAGTAATGTTAAATGAGTTACATTTAGATAAACTATGTTCTTCTGAACTGCAGGACTTGGAATACTTCAGGTGGGTTTATTTCTGCCTTTCCCATTCTTTTCTATATTCTAGATGTTAGTTGCATTAGTATCTTGGCAAATCTTTACTATTTCTAAATCTTACTATTTCTTGTTCCGCTTTACTTTGCTGCTCGGTATATAGTGTACTGTTTGAATTTCTTGTGCCATTACGTGTCATCTTGCTGTCTTGGATGTTTCCTGTAGAGCCTGTTTGCTGTTTTACCATTTCTTTGACAGTCAGTTAAAGCTGTTTGCTCTTTTCATTTGGGTCTTGGGATTTAGTTCCTGGTGTGGCCCTTGTTTGGTTGCTTGCTTTTTCATAGAAGCAAGATTTCAAACCTCTGTCAAGGATTGTTCAAACTTAGTCTTTCGACTTAATTTGTTCTGTCTATTCCAACTGAAGGAGTTTGAATTTAAGTACCCCATGATTTCAGACAGATGATATATCTGCATTTGCTATCTATTCTGCTGAAGAAAGCTGTTTTCCTGGGCTACTGCCCAGTATCTCTCTTGGTTCTCCACAATTTAATCTACACAAGCAGGGGTAAATGATTTTATGACTAGAGAGATAGTACAGTGGTAGTAACTATGTGATCCCACTTGCAGACAAGTAGTTCTGTGTATTTTTATGCAGAGCAAGGTGCCAAGTTATTAAATTGGGAGATGAAGGACATGTAAATTTAATTTGTTGGTAGGTTTTGTTGATTATTATTTACAAATTAATATGTATGTTGATTATCTTTCTCCTTCCTATCTCAAGAAGAATTGACAAAAGCTTTGCTTATTCCTGAAAGGATTTTTAGAGAGAATTTGGAGAAGAAAACTCTGCAGTTAAATGTTTTTCTCATCACAGGATCATGTGACAGTTCCATTTAGTTGTCTTGTCCTGTTTTGCTTCTGGTCTATTTCTCAAGGGTGCCCTTTTGCTGTGGTTTGATAGTGAGCTGAATGGAATGAGGTGGTGTCTCAAATCTCTTCCTTCCTTCTCTTTAGTCTTTGTTCAGTTTCCCACGTAACTTTACTTTTTTAGCTGATATTTGTAAGTGAGCTAGGAAGCAATACATTTGAATAACAAATACGATATAATATGTATAGATTATTATGTTATGAGCCTGTGTGCTTATTTCATCTATTGACCTTCACAGTTTTTGGGGGCATCTGGATCAACAGACTTTATTTAGATTTGAGAATTTTAAATTCTATGCAAAAGAAAACAATGAAGTCACCACCTTATTCAGGTAAAATTTTCATCTCTCTGCTTTTTTTCTGGTTGTTTTTCTTTTTCCATTTAATCCATACTGTGATTGCCAGATGTGAATGTGATTGCTAGACAGAAAAGTTGTTATTAGTTAATTATCTTGTATATTAGTTTCTAGCAAATCCAAATACTTACAAAGTCATCTAAATCATACCTTACTGTGAGACACAAGTTACTGTCAGAAAGAAGACTTTATGTGTCTGGTATTAATCTTGCTTATATGTAGCAATTTAAAAGCTGGGCATCTTATTCAAGTCAAGTATCTAGATGATTACTGAAACTAATGGAAAAAAATAGGCATTTCAATAATGAATTTCATCCCATCTACCTTAAGCAGTTATGTTTAGTTGATGAGATGAATCAACCACCTGATGTGTTTGTCTCTCTTCATTTGCTACAGAGGGATCTTAGCATAAATCTCTTAGAGGAGTTTAAAGTTAGGTGAAATTGACACCTTCTTTGAAATCAGTTGTAGAATAGGATTTGCTACTGCTTGTGCGGTCTTTTTGCAGATATTTACTTTTCCATGTCTCCCTCTAAAATGTAAATATTCATGCAATTTCT